TTTCCGATTCACTGAGCCACACAAATATCAAAATACAAAGGCTGACCGGTGACTGTAGGATATTGTATTGTACAGCTTAGGAAACAACACATGATAATTATTACATTTTCTTCACCATAATAAAGTCGGCTCACAACCTTGAGAATGGACTATTCTTATTGGCTCAAAATATCTGTCTATTTTGATTGGTTGACGATTCGACAATGATCAAGGTGAGACAAAAGACGATGAATTGACCACACACACACACACACACAAAATCACAATATGCGTGAGAAATGATACATTCTTAACATAGCAACTCCATCACATGATAAATCGCACGATTCGTGAGAAAGGATGATTTAGTATTTTATGCTAGGTCCTATCAGATATAAATTCAAGGTTGACGTGTGTGACTAGTAGCCAATGTCATGTGTTTTGTTATCAAATGTTTAAGAACTTGATTCAATTAGGTTAAGTTTAGTAATTTACTCCAAACAACTCGGTAGTAAAGACTTCAGCACTTGGTAATGCATGTTGTATTTTTCAAGTGACGTCAAGTTTTTTCAGGTTACAGATTTTGCTTCACTGACGAGTGCTAACAAAACCTACGAAACTTACACCAAAGCCTTCCTGTCGAATGTCATCAAATATTAAACATCAACGTGTGAGGTTGCTGGATGGTGACTAGCAGTGGAATCCAGGACGAGCGCTTCGTCCCATTTTGCGACTCGTCATCTGGATGTACCTGCATTCCCCAGTCAGTGAGTGATGATGTTCCCAGCGAGGCTCGAACCCAGTGCCCATAGTTTCAAATGCCAAAGCACTATATACTAGACCACGTGGGCCAACAGAGCCACCGAGCACTTCGGCCCAATCAATCAACCGAAAAATCTAAAATTCAATTAGATAATTAACATGACCCACTGCACAAGACGTGGCTGTCATGGACTAAGTGGTCTAGCAGATAATACTTTGGCGCACTGGGTTCGAGCCTCGGTGGGAACATCATCACTCACTGACTGGGGAATGCAGGTACATCCAGATGACGAGTCGCAAAAAGGATGAAATGCGCATCCTGGATTCCACTGCCAGTCGCCATCCACCAAGTAACTTCTAATTACATGCCCGGCATCGTCGTAGCATCTGCACAAGAAGACGACATATCAACCTGAGACCGAGCACTTCGGTCCAGTCAATCGACGGGAAAATCCGAAATTCAATTAAAATCAATGCGTGAAGTTGAAATAAACGGTTGATTTGATTTATGAAATAATCCGTTTTTTTATTTTCTTTGAAATAATTACCCCAAATCTTTCATTGACATTCTCGTTTTCATCATTTAACTTTTTTTACAGAAAGAGCTGAAAATCATGATGTCCAGAATATTTTAAATTTGGCTCGTCATTTTGCCGCGACAGTACAAATGTTAACTAGTAAAACAAATGAGAATTGAAAAGGATAATTATGTGTCAAATTGTTCATTCAAATTTCTTTTTTTTTATTGATTTTAAGACATCGTATTATTTGTTAAAGGTCAGTTGTGCTTCCAGTGTTTGTCGTTTGCATTGTCTCTCTCTATATATACACATGTATGTGTGATTGAACACATATTTCTACGTCTTAAATCGGTGTATTTCTAGACATTACTGCCTATTATCTATTCACATCTCCATTTGTATTATTACAGTACTCCAATAAGGCTGATCGATCGATCGATTATATCTTGTTGTTGTTGTTAATTTACACAATCTGACATTTATAATTGTGTGTACACCTACTTAGCCTACTGAACTTGTTCATCAACTCATCTTGATTACATACACATACTTACATGTTTGTAATTTTTCACGTCTTGTTTGTATAAAAGTGTTTTGAAGAGTATATATACATATTTGTCTAAACCAAGTTCATTTTTTAACAGTTTGCGAAAAATTTGGGCATTGGGTATTATTATTATTATTATATGATTGTTTCTTTTCATTCCTAGAGGAACATAGGGCTTCCGCCGTGCCTCTCCATTGCGTTCGGTTCTCTGCTAGAGTCTTCACCTGACTCCATGTCTGCCCACACGTTTTCATCACCTCTTCACATGACCTCCTCCAAGTCACCCTAGCATTGACGACCAACTCGCCGCCGCTTCCCTTTCGGGTTCCACTCGAGCAATGGCTTGTCTAGTGATGTCACTTGATGGTTTGGTTTCCTCAGAGTATGGCCAATCCATCTCCATTTCTTCCTGCCTATTTGTTTCACAATCGGTTCCTGCTGGGTTGGTTCGCTCCCAGAGATCCCTGTTGCTGATCTTTTTTGGTGGGTCATCTGATTTTGAGTATTGAGCGAAGACAACTGTTAATGAAGGTCTGTGGTTTGTTTGAGATGCTCTTTATGACACGCCAAGTCTCTGATCAGTATAGTAACACTGACTGACTTCACATTGGAGTTGAATATACGGATCTTATTTTCATTTTCATGCTGAGTGCTGTTGACCTCCACACAGACTTGAGAGTAGTGAAAGCTTGTCTTACTTTTCCGATTCTTGCTTTGATATCCCTGTCAGTTCCGCCTGTTGTTGTAACGATGCTTCCCAGTTAGGTGGGTGAAGGAGGTTGTTTCTTTCAGGTTCCTTCCATTTATGCTGATCGTTGTCTGTTGTTGTTGGTGATGCTGGCCAGGAATCTTCATCACCTCTGTTTCCTCTATGTTCACCTGAAGTCCTATCTTCTCTGGATGCTTCTTCTGCCAACTTATTGCTTTTAGCTTGCATATCTTCCAGTTTGTGGGAAATCAGACATATAGCATCGTTGGTGAAGTCCAGATCCTCCAAGTTTTTTGTGTGAATCCATTTTATGCCTGTTTCCTATGCATTGGGTATGCGATATTAAATTACTATAAAAGTTTTTTTTGTATTTCTCAATGAATGAAAAATAACAAAACAGGGCAAATTCTCTCTAAGTCCATCATTCTCGTATTCACCAGACAATTTGGATTCCATTTGATGATGATATGTTAACTGATTCTGTTGATATCAGACATGTTCTTTGTGATTTCTGATATTTTTCTGGTTTATTTTAATATTAGTAAGTTCATATGAATTGGATGTTGATATAAAACGGTAGTAAGAAAAGTGATGAGTTGTCACAAACGCGATTGTTAAAGAAGAGTTACGTAATGACGTGAATAGTTCGATGAAAGAGTTGTACTCAGTGTATATACATGGGAACGAAATAGAATAAGGAATTGCAAAAGGGTTTCAAGTGGTTAGGAAAAACAAGTAAACAAACAAAAAATAAGTCAAATCAACGGGGTTGTTACCATGATAGTAGAAGTGGTTGAATAATCTTCTTTTGTATGCATAGTTCTGGTTCTCCCAACTGAATGGCTAGGGCTTCCGCGATGCAAGCAGGACGGAAACATATTGTCTTTGGCAGGTTGTTCGTCACTTTGCAGATTACTTTGAAGGAGGCGTTTGTTGAGATGGAATGACCAGTGTTGACGAGATGTTTGATTATTGCACTCCTTATACGGCCACTACTTTCTTTCTGCAGCCAAGCTGGATAGTGTTCTTTGACCCACAACGTCAGTGCATCTGTACAGTTCATCAAAGACTTGGGGTATACGTCACCTAAAGTATCTTCAACAGGCCACTTCAAAATTTCATCAACACCTGCCTACTTAATTCGATACTGTGGATGAGGGGGTCAGCCAGAAAGGACTAGTAACAAGGAACTCTGGGGAAGGACCAACCTATGCTGAAGTATAGATGGTGATGAATCGGACACGCTAAGATCACTGCCCACGTCAGGCCACCACTCAAGTGGAATCCGAATGAGAAACGGCGAGATGCACTTGAGTCAGACATAAAGAAAAACGTTGGAGAAGGAGATGATAGCAACATAGAATAATATTAATCATAAAATTCCTTTCAGCCAGCAGGTCATACATTCGAATCCTATCATAACAAATAAAACCTGAGCATCAGCTAAGAGATATCATCAATTCAAACAAAATATAATTGGCAGGACCAATGAAAGCAAATTCCCAACAAAACCAATACTTCAAAAGAAATCTGAAACTCACTAGAGACTTGAAGCATTCAGGCACTTAAAGCTCGATTCCAGTGGGGAGCCGTACCCAGGACGGTGCAACAAGATGAAATCCATGAAGTCACTCATAGAAGAAGTCATAGCGAGGTGCTCCCGGTATGTCATCGATTAGCAGAAATTAGAATTCATCAAGTGGCCGGCTGTCCGGCATTAGGATCGCCCCCTCCCAGTGGTGGATGGCTGAACAGTATAGGAGGTACCTCGCCTGCCTTGAAACCAGCACGTCCTGCCTTCCAACCCTGGCAGTTGATGGATACATACTGCTGAAGAGTCCAAAACTAGGAAGAAGAAGACAGCCGGCTGTCCAGTACTCACTCACTGCAGCTTTTACAATGCTTGTCTAATTCATGTCACCTCATCATGATTAAATCCACCCAACCCATCGAACACAACACTTCTCTCGCTCATAAGAACCTCGGTGGGAGGGAGCATGAAAAATCTTTTCCGGTTAATTGACTTCAAACGAAGCCTTCAACTTCACACAGCCAGCCAGTCAGTCAGCTAAACTCATTCATTCATCCATTCAATGCTAACAAGCTTCAAAAACAAGAAAGAACACTAAAATAAACAACATCTATATATTTACATAATTCATTTAAATTAAATTGAATACACACTCCACTCCACTGCACTGCACTGCACCCCTGTTCTGTAATCATAATAATAACAACAGTAACAAATGATTTCATGGCTGCTCACAAGTCCTAGTCAACGATCTCCAACAACAGTGTTATGTGTAACGAATTTGCTTGCAACCAGTGGAAAGAAACGCGAAACAAACAAAACAAGAAAACCAAGTACCTGATTAAGGTAGCATACTGTATATATATAGAGATAGATTTCTTCAAAAACAACTCTGATGAAGGCGCCCCTGTAGGATATGTGGTGAAGAGTGATATAATATACCGACGATAATAATAATAATAGCAATAATAATATAAATAGTATGAATATGGAGGAAAATACCAGTCAGTGAGTCACTGACTGACCCGCTTACTGAAATACTGTACATTTTTTGCGCCATTTCTTTGTTGTCTTGACAAAATCAATCGAAAATATACACATACACATGCATATACGCATGCATATAAATGCAAATTAACAAAACAAAACAAAAAATAGTAATAAGACTAGCGCGAGTAGTAATACTACATAGTCAGTCAATTGCCACCCCAACCACCAACCGAACAAAGAAGACCAACACCCATCCATCCAATTATGCAGTCAATATCAATTCCAGTTCACTTCCCCTATTATTCATTCTACAAATCTCTCTTCATTTAATCTTAAAATTACACAGTGTTGATCCAAGCAACTCTCTCCAATCATAATCACAATTTCGCGAATATGAACAAGCATTGGGTATAGGCGCTTCAACAAGATCCCATCGACGATTCTCTTCAGCCAATAGTAAACCACAATACGGTACAATGGATGTACGATGTTGGAATTCATCCGAAGAGATATGATGATGATGATGTCGAAAGCCATGATTCACCAAGTGACGTGTACAGGTGTCCAGTGAACAAGCATGACCAACAATCAACAAACAGGTATCTGAAAGAATTTTTGTTTTCAAAAGAAAAGAGAACAAAACAATAAAATGGATAGTATCACTAATTATATTTAACTCATTAGATGGTATTAATAAACCAGAGTGATTATTCAAGTTACGCAGGCATCCAGTGTGTTAGTCAGATAAGCAGGCAATGTCAATCGATGAAGTTGGAAAGCTACTACATAGATTGAGATGTCTAAACATGTTCGCCTTCCTCGACGAACATTCTTAACTGATACAGGATACGATCAGTTTGGAAAAGAACGCAGTCGTGGTCAAATCGAAAAATGGAATCAGTCTATGACATCTTCAACAGTCGGTTTCACAGCCAGCCACCTAGACAGACAGGGGTGAAGGCTTCCTAGTTCAGGTGTCCTCGGGATTCTAAGAGTCACTCACTGGAGACTTTTTATGGTGCAGATGCATTCTCCTTTTCTTATTTGATATATCTCCTATAAAACTCTATTGTTTTCCCATCTTACTACTCTTTCTATGTTCCGAACAATTTTCCCTATTATCCTTCTTCTATATCCGTTTTCTCCTATACCTTTTGTCTTCCCTACCTATGTGTACTCTACATGCAATGTGGCAACTAGAAATAATGCTGCACTCCTGTGAAAAGCTCTCGGTTAAAACCAGTCAGCCAGCCAGGCAGTCAGTCATATTGACTCATATATTAAGTAACCAGGAGTGAGTGAGCAAAGAGCATTGCCAATCACCTTGAAAACCAACCGGCAGAGAAGTCGTCGCCCTATGTCATGAAATGGCACAAGTTACAATTCATGCACTGGCTGGTTGGCTGGCTGGCCGGCCATACGATCCGGTCCTCCCAAGGCTGGTGACCTGAATAGTATACGAGCTAGCTAGCTCGTCCACCATCAACCCAGAATGTCTTGGCTTCCAAATCTACAAGGGTTGATGGGTGAGCACTGCCAAACAGTTACAAATTAGTAGAAAGAAGACAGCCGGCTGGCTATCCAGTACTCGCTCCCTGAAACTTTTACAATGCTTTTTCCTAACTCTTGTCAACTCATCATTATTAAATCACCTGACTAGACTAATCAAAGACAACACTTGTCTCACTCATCAGAACTTCCAGGTTGGTGGGTGGGGCATGAAACATCTCTTCCGGTTAATTGACTTCAAACGAAGCCTTCAACTTCACACAGCCAACCAGCAAACCAGCCAGCCAGTCAGTCAGCTAAACTCATTCATTCATTCATTTAATGCTAACAAGCTTCAAAAACAAGAAAGAAAGAACACTAAAATAAACAACATCTATATATTTACATAATTCAATTCAATTAAATTGAAAACACACTCCACTGCACTGCACCCCTGTTCTGTTACGATAATAATAATAATAATAATAATAATAATAATAATAATAATAATAATAATAATAATAATAATAATAATAACAATAATAATAGTAACAAATGATTTCATGGCTGCTCACAAGTCCTAGTCAACGATCTCCAACAACAGTGTTATGTGTAACGAATTTGCTTGCAACCAGTGGAAAGAAACGCGAAACAAACAAAACAAGAAAACCAAGTACCTGATTAAGGTAGCATACTGTATATATATAGAGATAGATTTCTTCAAAAACAACTCTGATGAAGGCGCCCCTGTAGGATATGTGGTGAAGAGTGATATAATATACCGACGATAATAATAATAATAGCAATAATAATATAAATAGTATGAATATGGAGGAAAATACCAGTCAGTGAGTCACTGACTGACCCGCTTACTGAAATACTGTACATTTTTTGCGCCATTTCTTTGTTGTCTTGACAAAATCAATCGAAAATATACACATACACATGCATATACGCATGCATATAAATGCAAATTAACAAAACAAAACAAAACATAGTAATAAGACTAGCGCGAGTAGTAATACTACATAGTCAGTCAATTGCCACCCCAACCACCAACCGAACAAAGAAGACCAACACCCATCCATCCAATTATGCAGTCAATATCAATTCCAGTTCACTTCCCCTATTATTCATTCTACAAATCTCTCTTCATTTAATCTTAAAATTACACAGTGTTGATCCAACCAACTCTCTCCAATCATAATCACAATTTCGCGAATATGAACAAGCATTGGGTATAGGCGCTTCAACAAGATCCCATCGACGATTCTCTTCAGCCAATAGTAAACCACAATACGGTACAATGGATGTACGATGTTGGAATTCATCCGAAGAGATATGATGATGATGATGTCGAAAGCCATGATTCACCAAGTGACGTGTACAGGTGTCCAGTGAACAAGCATGACCAACAATCAACAAACAGGTATCTGAAAGAATTTTTGTTTTCAAAAGAAAAGAGAACAAAACAATAAAATGGATAGTATCACTAATTATATTTAACTCATTAGATGGTATTAATAAACCAGAGTGATTATTCAAGTTACGCAGGCATCCAGTGTGTTAGTCAGATAAGCAGGCAATGTCAATCGATGAAGTTGGAAAGCTACTACATAGATTGAGATGTCTAAACATGTTCGCCTTCCTCGACGAACATTCTTAACTGATACAGGATACGATCAGTTTGGAAAAGAACGCAGTCGTGGTCAAATCGAAAAATGGAATCAGTCTATGACATCTTCAACAGTCGGTTTCACAGCCAGCCACCTAGACAGACAGGGGTGAAGGCTTCCTAGTTCAGGTGTCCTCGGGATTCTAAGAGTCACTCACTGGAGACTTTTTATGGTGCAGATGCATTCTCCTTTTCTTATTTGATATATCTCCTATAAAACTCTATTGTTTTCCCATCTTACTACTCTTTCTATGTTCCGAACAATTTTCCCTATTATCCTTCTTCTATATCCGTTTTCTCCTATACCTTTTGTCTTCCCTACCTATGTGTACTCTACATGCAATGTGGCAACTAGAAATAATGCTGCACTCCTGTGAAAAGCTCTCGGTTAAAACCAGTCAGCCAGCCAGGCAGTCAGTCATATTGACTCATATATTAAGTAACCAGGAGTGAGTGAGCAAAGAGCATTGCCAATCACCTTGAAAACCAACCGGCAGAGAAGTCGTCGCCCTATGTCATGAAATGGCACAAGTTACAATTCATGCACTGGCTGGTTGGCTGGCTGGCCGGCCATACGATCCGGTCCTCCCAAGGCTGGTGACCTGAATAGTATACGAGCTAGCTAGCTCGTCCACCATCAACCCAGAATGTCTTGGCTTCCAAATCTACAAGGGTTGATGGGTGAGCACTGCCAAACAGTTACAAATTAGTAGAAAGAAGACAGCCGGCTGGCTATCCAGTACTCGCTCCCTGAAACTTTTACAATGCTTTTTCCTAACTCTTGTCAACTCATCATTATTAAATCACCTGACTAGACTAATCAAAGACAACACTTGTCTCACTCATCAGAACTTCCAGGTTGGTGGGTGGGGCATGAAACATCTCTTCCGGTTAATTGACTTCAAACGAAGCCTTCAACTTCACACAGCCAACCAGCAAACCAGCCAGCCAGTCAGTCAGCTAAACTCATTCATTCATTCATTTAATGCTAACAAGCTTCAAAAACAAGAAAGAAAGAACACTAAAATAAACAACATCTATATATTTACATAATTCAATTCAATTAAATTGAAAACACACTCCACTGCACTGCACCCCTGTTCTGTTACGATAATAATAATAATAATAATAATAATAATAATAATAATAATAATAATAATAATAATAATAGTAACAAATGATTTCATGGCTGCTCACAAGTCCTAGTCAACGATCTCCAACAACAGTGTTATGTGTAACGAATTTGCTTGCAACCAGTGGAAAGAAACGCGAAACAAACAAAACAAGAAAACCAAGTACCTGATTAAGGTAGCATACTGTATATATATAGAGAGAGATTTCTTCAAAAACAACTCTGATGAAGGCGCCCCTGTAGGATATGTGGTGAAGAGTGATATAATATACCGACGATCATAATAATAATAATAATAATAATATAAATAGTATGAATATGGAGGAAAATACCAGTCAGTGAGTCACTGACTGACCCGCTTACTGAAATACTGTACATTTTTTGCGCCATTTCTTTGTTGTCTTGACAAAATCAATCGAAAATATACACATACACATGCATATACGCATGCATATAAATGCAAATTAACAAAACAAAACAAAAAATAGTAATAAGACTAGCGCGAGTAGTAATACTACATAGTCAGTCAATTGCCACCCCAACCACCAACCGAACAAAGAAGACCAACACCCATCCATCCAATTATGCAGTCAATATCAATTCCAGTTCACTTCCCCTATTATTCATTCTACAAATCTCTCTTCATTTAATCTTAAAATTACACAGTGTTGATCCAACCAACTCTCTCCAATCATAATCACAATTTCGCGAATATGAACAAGCATTGGGTATAGGCGCTTCAACAAGATCCCATCGACGATTCTCTTCAGCCAATAGTAAACCACAATATGGTACAATGGATGTACGATGTTGGAATTCATCCGAAGAGATATGATGATGATGATGTCGAAAGCCATGATTCACCAAGTGACGTGTACAGGTGTCCAGTGAACAAGCATGACCAACGATCAACAAACAGGTATCTGAAAGAATTTTTGTTTTGAAAAGAAAAGAAAACAAAAGCAAAAAATGGATAGTATCACATAGTATTATATTAAACTCATTCGATGGTATTGATAAACGAGTGTGATTATTCAAGTTACGCAGGCATCCTGTGTAAGTCAGGTAGGGAGGGAGCGTCAATCGATGAAGTTGTGACGCTACACAGATTGAGATGTCTAAACATGTTCGCCTTCCTCGACGAACAATCTTAAGTGATAGAGGATGGGATTAGGTTGGAAAACAGGTAGTCATGATCAAATCGAAATATGGAATCGGTCGATGACATCTTCAACAGTCGGTTTCACAGACAACCAGCTAGACAGACAGACAGCGGTGTAGGCTTCCTAGTTCAAGTGTCCTCGGGAT